CAACAATATTATTGAAAATTCACAATACAAATACTTTACATCTAATCGTCATACCTGTGCCATATTTATTTTTATAGGAATTTCATTGGGATTTTTTTGCGAACAAATTAGGATAAGATAATTTCAAATATAGTAAACAATGCGAGGTTTAGCATTAATTTTGAAAAATTGTATTCCATAACTTCCTGGACTTTTCTTTCCGGTAATTACATTTTTCTTTTCTTCTCGTCCTGTACTGGACGAACTGTCACACATGACCCCCAGTGACACAGAGGAATATCTGCGGACTTACAACGCTAGAAACCGGGTTTCGATACCCGTGGAGAGCAGAGCGTAGATAGCCATTGTGTAGCTTTGTGCTTATATTACAAACACACAAACTGTCACACAGAGCCTGTGAATAAATGTAGTAACAATAAGCCTTGAAGTTAACAAAATGTATCTATTCAGATTAATTTCGATAAAGTTCACCCTGAGTGACAAACATGACGTCACTGCATGTGTTTATTATTATTATTTTTTTCATTTCCTCACTAAGACGTTTTCCAGCTATTAGGAAAAGTAGCGTAAAATACACTACATTTAATATTTAGGCCTGTTCACTCTGTATCATGAGAAGTATAAGTGTACACGACTTCTTTCCGCTGTGTATCGTCAGATAGCTTCTGTACCTATATATCGTTAGATAAATGTATAACTATTTTTGTCCACCATTTATCGTGAGATATATATATATATAGCTTATATCCGCTATATATCGTTATATTTACGTATATCTAGCTTCTGTCAGCTCTACATCGTCATATGTAAGTATATCTAGCTTCTATCTGCTGTGTTTTGTCAGATGTACATATATCTAGCTTTTATATGCTGTGTATCGTCAGATGTACGTATATCTAGCTTGTATATGCTGTGTATCGTCAGATGTACGTATATCTAGCTTATATCTGCTGTGTATCGTCATATGTACGTATATCTAGCTTACATCTGCTGTGTATCGTCAGATGTACGTATATCTAGCTTTTATATGCTGTGTATCGTCAGATGTACGTATATCTAGCTTATATCTGCTGTGTATCGTCATAGGTACGTATATCTAGCTTACATCTGCTGTGTATCGTCATAGGTACCTTTGTCCGTTCGATATAGTCAGACTTAAGTATATCTACCTTTGTCCGTTCGATATAGTCAGACTTAGGTATATGTACCTTTGTCTGTTCGATATAGTCAGACTTAGGTATATGTACCTTTGTCCGTTCGATATAGTCAGACTTAGGTATATCTACCTTTGTCCGTTCGATATAGTCAGACTTAGGTATATCTAGCTTACATCTGCTGTGTATCGTCATATGTACCTTTGTCCGTTCGATATAGTCAGACTTAGGTATATGTACCTTTGTCTGTTCGATATAGTCAGACTTAGGTATATCTACCTTTGTCCGTTCGATATAGTCAGACTTAGGTATATCTACCTTTGTCCGTTCGATATAGTCAGACTTAGGTATATCTACCTTTGTCCGTTCGATATAGTCAGACTTAGGTATATCTACCTTTGTTGTTGATTAAAGTTTGGAGTAAGTATATTCAGCATTTGTCCTATCTGTATCACGAAATATCCATATTTAGATAATTAATTTCAGTTTTTAATTACAGTCAGATTTGGAACGAAATTAATAGATAAAACAATTAGCCAGTGTCACCTCTATAACGAAATGACTCTGTAACTTTGTTTATTATGCGGTTAGCCCTCAAGGAAAAGGGTTACGTATAATTTTGTGGAAATGTGCGAGACTACAGTTAATGC